GCCCCTTGAAGACTGGCGGGTGGACATTGGGGAGGGAGCACGCGTCTAATGGGCCTGCGGTGCACAGAGAGGCTGGACAGGTCGCTCTCAGGGCGCCAGATCGCAGCTCCACCAGTTGGGAGCGGGTTTGGAAAAGAGGAGGTCCGGAGCGAGAGTGGGGTAGTGGCAAAGTGTCCTCGATGGAGAAGGGCATGGGCTGCTGGAAGTGCGATGGGACGGCTGGAGCGATGGCTGACACCCTGGCTGCCTTGGCTATATCCAGAGGTCCAAAGGGTAGGTTGAACTGCTGTGGAGAGCACACCTGACCTGGTCCTGCCTGCCTGCAGCCCGGAGGCAGAGCGTGCAAGGCCCAGGCAGGCCCGTCCCCCACCCCCCCTGGAGGGAGCCATGCAGCTGTTGAGCCGGGAAGGCCATAGTGTGGCCCACAACTCCAAGCGGCACTATCACGACGCCTTCGTAGCCATGAGCCGCATGAGGCAGCGCGGACTCCTGTGTGACATCGTCCTGCATGTGGCCACCAAGGAGATCCGTGCACACAAGGTGGTGTTGGCCTCCTGCAGCCCCTATTTCCACGCCATGTTCACAAGCAAGTACTTGTCTGGGTGGCACACAGGTCTTACTACAGGCCTGCAGGTGGACACCAACCTGACCTCCTGCTCTCTTGTCCCTACAGATGAGATGAGTGAGAGTCGCCAAACACACGTGACGCTACATGACATCGACCCTCAGGCCTTGGATCAACTGGTGCAGTTTGCATACACAGCTGAGATTGTGGTGGGCGAGGGCAATGTGCAGGTGAGGCTGCTGCCGTCCCCTAAGGCAGTCTTCCCAGTCTTCCTGAGTCCGAGGCCCTTGAGGCCATTCCCCACCTCTCCCAGTTCCTCTGCTTCCCCAGCACCCTTCTGCCTCACTCTCACTTCCGCGGCTGCAGACACTGCTCCCTGCTGCCAGCCTCCTGCAGCTGAATGGCGTCAGAGATGCCTGCTGCAAGTTCCTGCTGAGTCAGCTGGACCCCTCCAACTGCCTGGGAATCCGGGGCTTTGCCGACACACACTCGTGCAGTGACCTACTCAAGGCAGCACACAGGTACGTGCTGCAGCACTTCGTGGACGTGGCCAAGACCGAGGAATTCATGCTCTTGCCACTGAAGCAGGTAACATGCCAGCTGGGGTGCAGCCCAAACCATGCCCCAGCCCCAAGCCAGAAAACAAAACCCTAGCAACCAGCCCCACAACCCTTGTGCCCACCTCCTGGCCCACATTCACACCATGTCCTTCCCAGGGCTCTGGAATCTTGTTTCCATTTTGTGATTCCACCAGACTTTTACCCCATCCTGTCAACACATTCCTGCCAATAATCCCTACTTCCTGTTTTTGTGTCACTGTTATCACTGGTTTTAGGCTCCCTTAGAAACCAAATCTGTGCCTCTTGACCCTGCTTGGCCCCTCCCTGTAGGAACACTGATTGCCCAGCTGAAACTTCCTTCCCAGGCACTTTCAGGGCTCCCTGGGCACACAGGACCCTCCCCAGGTCTAAGGTCTGAGGGCCCCCATCTCCAGGTGCTGGAATTGGTCTCTAGCGACAGCCTAAATGTGCCTTCAGAGGAAGACGTCTACCGTGCAGTCCTGAGCTGGGTTAAACACGATGTGGACACTCGGAGGCAACATGTCCCCCGGGTGAGGCCAGGTCCTGAGTTTCCCATGTGTCTGGGAGGGACACAGGTGACTGAGACCTGGGTATACCTCATGGAGTCCCTGGCCTCTCCCGTCAGGGACCTAAATGGGGATAAGAACAGCACTTGGAGAACCCATCATGAAGATGATGTGGGCTTCGAGGCTGGGGCTCTGAGCCCTGGAGCAAGCGAGCCTGGGGGTCTCCCTGACCTTGGCACTCTCTGCCCCAGCTGATGAAGTGTGTGCGGCTGCCCCTTCTGGGCCGTGACTTTCTGCTGGGCCATGTGGATGCTGAGAGCCTTGTGCGGCATCATCCTGACTGCAAAGACCTGCTTATTGAGGCCCTCAAGTTCCATCTGCTGCCCGAGCAGAGGGGCGTCCTAGGCACTAGCCGCACTCGGCCCCGGCGCTGCGAGGGTGCTGGCCCTGTGCTCTTTGCTGTGGGTATGCCCGCCTAGCCCTTCCTCCTTCATGTTGCTTCCCTGAACCTTCCATCTTCATGCCCAGCACAAGCCCAACTTGCACTGATCTGCTCTTCCCTCCTCCTCCATCCAGGGACCTCTCAAGTGTCTGTAGGGTCTGAGCCACCAGTGTAACCCAGCCCCCATGTCTTCTCATCTTGGACACCCATGGCCCTTAACCTCCCACTCGTTGTGTACCTGGGCCCTTCCTGCCCTTTCATCCCTCACCAGGCGGTGGGAGCCTATTTGCCATCCACGGGGACTGTGAAGCATATGACACCCGGACCGACCGCTGGCATGTGGTGGCTTCCATGTCCACACGTCGAGCCAGGGTGGGAGTGGCTGCTGTCGGAAACAGGCTGTATGCTGTGGGAGGGTAAGCCTAGCAGTCACACTTGGGGAGGGGGCTCTGCACAAATGTGCTAGGCCAGCTGTGACGAGTAATGGAACCCTTTCCTAGCTACGATGGGACTTCAGATCTGGCTACTGTGGAGTCATATGACCCTGTGACCAATACGTGGCAGCCTGAAGTGTCCATGGGCACTAGGCGAAGCTGTCTGGGTGTAGCTGCCCTGCACGGGCTTTTGTATGCGGCTGGCGGCTACGACGGGGCTTCCTGCCTCAACAGGTAATAGCTGGGGTTGGAGGCCCAGTGGCCTCACAGGGTTGGTTCAGCTGCAGGAGGTGAGGCTGTCACGCCTGCCTGGAGGAACAAGTTCCACCTATCCCAGGGTCCCCAAGGCTGCTTCACCTCAGGCCATAGCAGCACCAAAGCCTAGGCTCTTTTCTGCCCCTTTTCTTCTCTGGGGCCCTCTCTTCCAGTCCAGGGGCTGGCCTCAGGGTGGCATTTGCCCAGGATCATGCAGGCACCCCCGTGACCTGTGCCAACCCGGCAAGCCTTGCTGTCTGCTGTGGTAAGACTCTGATGTCAGAGTTTTGTGGTGCCCAGCAGGGGGTTTCAGCCATACCCTGGGAGGACAGGCCCTGGGGCAGGATGACTTCTCTGTCCTGGCTGATGGTCAGCAGCCATCTGGTGCCCACAGCGCTGAACGCTACGACCCCCTGACGGGAACATGGACATCCATTGCTGCCATGAGCACCAGGAGGCGATATGTGCGTGTGGCCACACTCGGTGGGTAACAGCGCCTGCTTTCTGTGCACCTACCCTCCTGCCTGCCCTCACCTCACACCCAGCAGGAGCACCAGGGTGTGTTGTTTTCCTACAGATGGGAACCTGTATGCCGTGGGTGGCTATGACAGCTCCTCACACCTGGCCACTGTGGAGAAGTATGAGCCCCAGGTGCATAACGCACTCCAATGATGACCACCCCTCCCCAGTACTCTCTGGGGTTGTGCACCCCAAAGTAGGTGCTCTTAGTGGGAGGGATACCCTTGTTGACTTAGTCTCCAACCTGTACTCTCACCACTGCAGGTGAACTCATGGACCCCCGTGGCCTCCATGCTGAGCAGGCGAAGCTCTGCTGGCGTGGCAGTACTAGAAGGCGCCTTGTATGTGGCAGGGGGAAATGATGGAACCAGCTGTCTCAACTCAGTGGAGAGATACAGTCCCAAGGCTGGCGCCTGGGAGAGTGTGGCACCCATGAACATCCGCAGGTCCGAAGTCAGGGGTGGTTAGTGGACAGTTCCAGCCACCACAGAGGGCGGTGCTGGGCATGTGCCATTGGGGGGAGCTGTTCTCTCACCCTGGCCCCACCCCTGGGGCTCCCCACTCAAACCCCACCCCTCCAGTAGCTCCCCTCCTAATCCCTTGCCCAGCCTCACTGTGGTCTTCCCACCCCCAGGAGCACACATGACTTGGTGGCCATGGACGGATGGCTGTATGCTGTGGGGGGGAATGATGGCAGCTCCAGCCTCAACTCCATTGAGAAGTACAACCCAAGGACCAACAAATGGGTGGCTGCCTCCTGCATGTTTACACGGCGCAGCAGCGTAGGCGTGGCAGTGCTGGAGCTGCTCAACTTCCCACCACCATCCTCACCTACACTGTCCGTGTCCTCTACCAGCCTCTGACCTACAGTATGGACTGCACAGAGTCCCTACATGCCTTAAGCCCACAGGGTGGCCCCTAAACCTCCTTGTCCCCGGCTGGCTGCATGTCGGAGTCAGGGTCCACAGCTCCCACCAGGGACATCTTGCACCGTCTGTCCACGTCTGCGTTCATTCCTCAGTTGTTGTCTGTATGTGTGCCATTTATTTATTGAGATTATTTATTGATGGAGAAGCAGCACTGCAGCTACCAGTTTAAATGTTTACTCTGCAAGCGTGGCTCTCTGTGTGGGGACCAGGCTGCTCTCCAGAGTTTCTTCCCCACTTCCTGCCAGGGGCAGTAGGAGTGATGATGGTGGACACTCCCTGCAGGAGGATTAGGAGCAGGAAGGGGTGCAGACCCCTAGCCCATGCTTCTCACAGTGCTCTTATCTGGCCTAGCCAAGCACTCCCTGGGAAGGGCACTAAGCAGGCTTGTGTCTTGTCTGCAGTTGGTGTCTTCTGGATCTTGTATGGGGCTGGGCACACATAAGCACTCAGACCCTACACAGCAATATGAGCCAACTTGAACAATAAACATGCTTCTTGGGCTCCACGGGTTGGAGGCTGTATCCATCTCTGGCCCTTTTTGTCATCTTGTAGAGCTGCAGCACAGCCTAGGGTTCTGTCGGCCCAGGATGAGGACCTGTGAGCTGAGTTACTGCATTAGTGTCAGAGCTTCAAGGCTGTATTTAGCGCCCAGGTGGGGAAGGGTCTGTGGTGTCCTCTGTGACAAGTAAAGTTGGTTGCCATCCTGGTCCTCGACTGTTCCTGTCACACTCCAGACTCGAGGTGGCAGGTACAAGTGGGATACAAGCTTCCCACCTCACCAACACTATCCTAGGCACCTGGGAATCCTGTAGCTACCTTCCTGTATTTGGTGAAGTCTTGGAGACCCTGATTTCATCCTTGGGTGATGACTGACCCCAGACAAGAGGAGCTGGGGAAAAAGTCTTGGCTTCCCCTTCCTCGTGCCATGGCAGCTAAGAGTCATAGACACATCCCCTACCACCCTGGTGACTCAAGAGACCAACTAGAGTTATGGAAACAGGATATGTACTCAGGTTCAGGGTGGACAGCTGGAGGGGGAGGGGTTCCTGGGTTCACCAAATTCCAATGCCCAGGTACTTCTGACCTGAATATAAGCAGCAGGCTCACAGACCTGGCCCAGGTGGCCCCTCCTGTCTAGACCAGAGGCTGAGGTGGGGGCTATTGTCCCGTCAGAGATGTCCTCTCCCTCCTGCCCCAAGGCCTGCCAACCCCTTTGTGGAAAGAAGTCATTTATGGAAGGCTGGGTTCCTCCAGTGAGGCCAATCCCTCCCAGAAAAGCCCCTCCCTGCCCATCCCCTGGTTGGGGCAGAACATCCATAGCCCCGCCTACCATGGGGAGGCGGGGGCAAGAGCCTCCTGTAGGACCCAGAACTGGCAACCAGCTCGGCCCAGGCCAGCCAGCCGCAACCACCCATGGGAAACAGCCAGTGTGTCCCTCAGGCCCCCAAGAGGCTGCGGGCCTCCTTTTCCAGAAAGCCCTCGCTGAAGGGAAATAGGTGAGAGGCAAGGCCTCAGCCATCTGGACACAGGGTCTCAACCTGTTTCCAGTGTCATGCCATGAGCCCCTTTCCCTTGTCCTCAGAGAAGACAACTCCAGGAAGCTGGCTGGCTTGTTTGGTGTGGAGGCTGGCTCCGATGGGGACACAGCGGCTGACAGGATCTTCTACTACATCCCTGGGACGGTGAGCAGAGGGGCGTGTCCCTCTGGAGCGTTGTCCTCGCATGTTGCTGGGCTTGGGGTCTGAGTGGCTCTGGCTCTCAGGTTGACTGTGTGTGTGACAGTGTATACATTATGTCTTCCTGGGCAGCAGGGGGGACAGGATGGGACCCAGATCCAAAGCGGAGGTGAGGAAGTGGACACTGCCCCACCCAGGCAGCTCATCTACTGAAAGTGGGCGAGAACGAAACTGAGAGGCACTGAGTCAGTCTTGAGCAGCTCTACAGGTGGCCAGGGCGGGGCCTTCAGTTTTGAGCCAGGCTGTTACCCATGCCAAGCCTCAGTTTCTCCCTGGGGTATTCTGCAGGTAGCTGCTATCAGTATCAGACCACAGCAACCCTCTACAGTGGCCACCACTGTATCCCCCACACAACAAGGGGGCAGCCCCAAGCCCCTGTCCACCTCCACCCCACTCCCCCAGGACTGAGGGCCAGCTAGGGGAGAGACCCAGCCCTTTTCCCAACATGCTGGCATTAGGCTGACAGGTCTGTCAGGAGGGCCCTGACCACTACAGACAGCCGTCTCCTTTGAAACTGTACCAGCCGGGGTGGGTGGGTTCTGCTATGCCCCAGGCATAGCAGGAAAGAATGTATGTGACTCTGGGCCAGGAGCACAGGCAGAGCTCTCACCCTGCACTCCTGGAGACAGCTGGCATGGACTTTGAGAGCCCACCTCTCCCACCTGCTGTGACACCCATGCTATCCCCTCTCTATTCTCTGAGGTCCCAGGGCTCCCCACAGGCAAGTAGAAGGCTCCTAAACCATGCTGCCTCAGAGAAGTGGGTGGAAGAGGGTAGCTGGCCTGGCCCAGTTGGGTCCCTCCACGTGGCCTCCACGTGGCCACATCTCAAATCCTGCCTCCAACTGCTTGGGCCCAATTTGCATTATAGGATGCTGGGGAAGTCCTGGGAGGCATGGTGGCCCTAGTGGTCCTCCTTTGCCCAGACATCCAGACACCATATCTGGAGAAGGGGTAGGACTCAGTGAGCCAGAAGGGTGGAGTCAGGGGAGGGGCTCTGGCCAGGAATAGAGCTGGGCACCTGAACTCTGTAGTGGATTGTGCACCTCTGCAGTGAATTGGCCTTGCTACTTCTCCAAGCTGAGTCCTCACCAGGGCCCCGGGTCTGAGCCTGGGCTGCAGGACCAACTGCATAGCCCTACCTGATTCATGGCCTATTTTTTACAGCTGCCATCCCAGAGTCAGTTCCCACACTGGGTGTGGATGCAGAAGGCCTCACCCAGAGGCAGGGAGGCCAGGGAGCTGTGTGTCTGTCTGTTCACATTCCTGGGCTTGCCCAAGAGGCGACTCAGCTTGGTCAGGACACAGCAGCCCATGCAGGTGGCCCTTGGCATCCACCAAAGGCAGTGTGACCCCTACCCAGCTTAGCCTTGTCCAGCCCATTAGCACCCATCTCCTAGCTGACCCCTAATCTGATCTCAAACCCCCCATTTACAGAGAACTTTGAGCCAGTGTTGGCTAAATGTGTAGACAGTGACCCTCCCTCCCTCTCATCAGCAGACATGCATTACCCATCATCTCCAGCACATCCCAGGCCCTCTCCTAGCTCTGGTGACAGAGAAGAAAACTAAGTAGACAAAGACCTTGTTCCCATTCCCATGGAAGAGACAGACAAGACAAATAAGTGAGATATATGGCAAGTGAGACTGTGCTGACGAGATGAGAAGGAGAGATCTGGGCAAGGCCCTGAGGGGTGGAGTGGAGTTCAGGTTGTAGGGCCCCAGCAGAAGGAAGAGCAAGAGCAGAGGTCCTGAGACAAGCATGTCCCTGATTCAGAGGTAAGAGAAAGGGAAAGAAGTGGGTGAAAGGCTGGTCCTGGAGAACTCCCCCAGGACCTTTGTTTTTGCTATGAATAGGCTGAAGGTACATGCAGTGGTTGCCTAGAGCAGAGTGGCTGGCATAGGCTTTGGGGAGCTGGCTGACCCGGCTTTTCTGGCCCTAAGTTTATGGCTGTCATGTTGGTAGCTAGAATACGTACACCAAAGAGATTGGGAAAGGTTACAAATCAGGGCCTTTGCTTTTCTGATTTCTGCATAATTTTTGTTTGTTGTAGAACCAGGCAATGAGCGTTATTATCCCACCCAGGCACCCCAGGATCCTCTAGATCTGGGGAGGTTAGGAACTAAAGGAGGCCACACAGCATAGGAGATGATGAAGCTAAGGGTAGCCTCTACTGAGTCCCAGACTCACTGTCTGCCACTAGATCAGGCAGCTCCAATGTGGAGAAGCTACATGTGCCCACAGTGTTTTCACAGGGAAAAGGCTGTGGGTATGCTAGGGTCTGCACCTCTGTGTGCTCTGGATGTGTGCATCATGTGGTCTGTGTGGAGAGACCAGCCCTGTGTGTATTGGCTGAGGCTGCTGGCCCCATCGGCCCCTTCCTTGAGTCCCACTCCCCCAGGATGTCTCAGGCCTGGAAAGCCGGCCAGAAGGTCTGGAGCAGCCATTCCTGAGTGTCTTCAAGAAAGGCCGGCGGCGGATACCTGTAAGGAACCTGGGCAAGGTCGTGCACTACGCCAAGGTCCAGCTGAGGTTCCAACACAGCCAGGTGGGAGCCAGGGACAGGTGGTGACAGGCTTGGGGGACCAGCATCCTGCCAGCTCAGGCTGCCCCCAGAACCCCAGACTGGCAGCCCTCTCTCCACAGGATGTCAGTGACTGTTTCCTGGAGCTGTTCCCCTCCCACCTCTACTTCCAAGCCCATGGCTCTGAAGGCCTCACATTCCAGGTATGTGTTGGGGGAATACCAACAGAAGGAGGGGCTGTGCCCCTGGGACTCCACAGCCCTTCCTATCTTGTGCTTTGTCAGGGGCTGTTACCACTATCAGACCTGAGCATCTGCCCACTTGAGGGGTCCAGAGAGCATGCCTTACAGATCACAGGTGTGTGTCAGGTGCTTCCCTACCCAGGCCCAGGTCTGCATGCAGCCCTCAGAGAGGTACCTCCCCTGTTGGCTTCCTTGGACTCACCACCAGCCTGCTCTCTCCTCTGCCCCAGGCCCACTGCCTGCCCCCCTTCTTGTTCTCTGCCCCACCGAGGCTGAGCTCAGCAGCTGGCTGTACCATCTGGAGAAGCAAATGGCCCTGGTGGGGGGACTGCAGCACTGCCACACAGCACCCCCACAGGTCAGTGCCCTGAACCTGCAGACCCCTCCCCGATCCCGGTCCCCCCTGGCTGCCCTGACCTCCTGTTCCTTAGGGACCCCTGAGGAATGAGCTCCCCTGGACTCTGCAGTGCCCTCTGAACCCAATGAGGAAGGCAACAGGGCGCAAACCACTGGGTGGCGCCATCTGTGCCTCCAGGGTCAAACTACAGCACCTTCCCTCAAAGGTGGGTGTGAGGAAGTGGGGGGTAGGACCAGGCCTGGGTACCCCAGCCCACTCTGTCCTCTGACCCTCACAGGAGCAGTGGGACCGGCTCTTGGTCCTGTACCCAGCATCCCTGGCCATCTTCTCTGAGGAGCCAGATGGGCTCAGCTTTAAGGTGGGCCCTCCTCCATCCCCAGGCCACCCCAGGCGAGCAGTATGTGTGGGGGTGGGGCAGCAGCTCAAGAGAAACCTGTATTTCAGGGCCTGTTGGGACAGTGTACGTGGCCCCACCCATCCATCCCCATTGCCCTGGTCACTCTGGTCTCAGCTTTGAGCAGCTCTTCCTGTGAGAACCTCTGTGTGCTCTGGGCCAAGTGTGTCCCTTGTGTGCAATCACAGCTACTGAAAAGCATGCACAGGGGCTTCACTTCCAGGGGCCAATCCCCACAAGTGTCTTCCTGCACCTGCCATGGACAGGTGCAGGCCACCAGAGACTCAAGATTGTCCCCAGGACAGACAGGGAACTGCCTGGCCTCCTGTCAGCTATGTTAGTGTCCAGCACAGCTCCAGAGAAGACAAAGGGGCGGGGCCAGGCTGGAGCTGGGTTTGCTTCTTGCTGGGATTTGTCCTCACTTGTTGCATCTGCAGGGGGAGCTGCCACTCAGTGCCATCCACATCAACCTGGAGGAAGAGGAGAAGCAGATTCGCTCCTTCCTGATAGAAGGTGCCCTGGGCTCTGCTTGGCTGGGCTGTGGGGAGAGGGCATGAGCCCAGTGGATGCCCCAGCACTTTACTGGGGCTCTGTGGGTTACACCCCATACTGGCAGGCCCCTACCTCATGTCTCTGTATACCAGGCCACCTCATCAACACCATCCGAGTGGTATGTGCCAGCTACGAAGACTACAGCCACTGGCTGATCTGCCTTCGAACTGTCTCCCGCAGAGATGGGGCATCCTTGCTGCCCAGCCTCGAGAGCCCCCCAGGGCTGCAGGAGCCCACACGGGTGAGGGTCTGAGGGCCCCACAGCTCAAGCTCTGGGAACAGAGGCTGGGGCTGGGCATGGGTCAAGGAGATGGATCAGTTACCCACTCACCTCTGGCTGCCCAGGTTGTGGGTGGGGGCCGAGGTTCACTCTCATCGGATGGACGGACCAGCTGGGACTCAGGGTGCCCAGCACCATCCTCTGCCTGCACCAGCCACTTTCTCCCTGAGTCCTTCATGCCATCCACTGTGGACTGTCCTGCCTGGCCTGCACCTGTGAGTACCTAGAGTGGCAGAGGAGGGCTGGAAGTTGGGTTTCATTGCTCCCCATCCCAAGGCTGGACCCTGACTCTTCAAAGAGGGGGCTCATCCTGGAGGGAACACTGCAGCCTCAGAGAATGGGGAGGGCAGGGAATTCTCTGGAAGGTCTTTGGTCTCCACAGGATCAGACCAATCCCAGCTGTGCCAGCGTTGATCAACGGAGGGCAGAGCTGAGACGTGGTGGCAGCAGCCGGTCACCCAGGGGCAAGGCCCGAAGGGAGGCACCTGGCCCATCAGCACCACTGCACCTGGACTTGGCCCAAGTAGGCTCCAGGCCGCTCTCCCCACTGCCTCCACCTCCCTGGCTCTGTCTCTCACCCTAGATCAGTGGTGGTGAACCTATGGCACGCATGCCGCTGTGGGCCATTTGTATCATCTAAAAGGTTCACCATCACTGGTTTAGGTGGTCCTGGAGCCCCCGTGGGCCTCTGCTTAGAGGACAGGAGGCTCTAGCTTCTTCTGCCTTGAAGAATCTCTCTTCCTTCTGTGCCCTGCAGGTGGGCAGGCTGAGGCTGGAGGGTGGCCCAGAAGCCCCAGAACACTCTCTAGAGGCTTCACACTCGCCGCTCTATGCTGACCCCTATACCCCACCTGCCACTTCCCACCTCAAGATCACAGATGTCCAGGGCTTGGATGAGGTCAGTCCTCTGCTGGGCCATGGGGCTGCATGTGCCAATGGCCTGAGGCCTTCTCAGGACTGATTGGAGACCAAGGGGTTTCTGGGGCAGTGGTCCTTGGGTTCTACCATGGCCCAGCCCAGGGCCTCAGATTACCCACATTTTCCTGACAGTTCCTCAGTGTGATGCAGAGCTCACCTGGACCTGAGCCTTCAAGCCCATTCCCCTCGGTCCCTGTGTCTGTGCCTGTCTCAGACCCCAGCCTGTCCAGACTCTCCAGGTCTCCTGGACCTCCAGATCACCACTTGCTTTCCAAGAAGGGAGCCTTGTGGTTCCGAGCCTCTCAGAGGCACCGAGGCTCCACCAAGGGCCGGGGCCTTCAGCCCTCAGACTCCCCTCAACTTGTGAGTTTCAACTCCCAAACTGGTATCAAAAGGCCCTAGGATTGAAGGGTGCAGTGTGGGGGCATGGGGCTCCTAGGAATCTGAAGGGGAAGGAGAAAAGCAAGAGAATACGGGACAAGCAGAGACCAGGGACAGGGACTGAGGTCTTCAGGACAGGGGTAGGGCAGCAGGAGGAGAGAGTGTAGACCCAGGGTCATAGGCAGGAGGGTCTGGTAGATTTGACATGCTGATCACCCAAATTATCAGACTTGTGGTTTGGGGTTCCCAGGTCTCTCTTACCAGCGAATGTTCATCCAGCCCACCTCTCCCAGGTGAGTGAGGGTCCTGCTTCCTTCTGGGATGAGCAACAGGGAGTTGGCTTTCTGCAAGCCAACACTTCTCCGCAACCCCCCCCCAACAGATGTCAAGTCCCCCATCTGGAACAAGACTTCATCTCCTTCCAACCAGAAGTGCCCACAGCTCAGAAGGCCTGAGGCAGAGGCGGGGTTCATCCAGTGGATCTGATGGCCCATTGGCAGGGCTGCCTCTCAGAACCACAGCCTGCCAGTGCCAGCCCTGCCAGGGTATCTGCAGTGCCCTCAGTACCCCATTGCCCCACATCACCTGTACAGTCAGGGTCTAACCCCAGCAGGCTAAGGGCACATCCAAACCCTGAGGGCAGAGAAGCCCCCACCCCTGGCCCTGGCTCCCCAGCTTCACCAGCAGCTGTAGCAGCCAGGAAGAGATGCCTTATCCCTAGGGACACTGTGGTTAGTCTGGTTGACCACAGCCTAGGGAAGGACACTAGGGAGGTCCTGGGGAACCACAGGAGCCTCCCCAGATGGAGGGGACCTGAAGAGAAAAATGGCTGGAGTGGAAGTGGTGTGGATGTGAAGATCAGAGGGCTGAGCAAGCCTGTGAGGGTCAGAGTATGTGAGGTCTGAGGGCACACGGGTCAGAGGTCAACAAGGTGTGAGTTTCAAGTGCAGAAGTATGAGTACGAGTACATAGCAAGAATGGTGAGAGAGTCCTATATTGCTGGCTGTGTAGGGAAGGGCTGGTTAGAGACACTGATGCCATAAACAAGAAAGGGGAGTTTTTATTGGTTTTGAGTCTCTATGTTCTTGCTGAGCAGTAAGGGGTTCTCACCATCCTGGGGACCCTGAGTTCTGCCTCCTGAATCCACCCACTGCTCTTTCACCTTGGGTCTTTCACCTACCTCTCTGCCCATCTCTGACTCCTGGGACCATCCTAAGAGCCCAGTTCTTCCATCTGAGGCCACCAAGTTCTCTGTATCCTTGACTATGGCTCCCTAGAGGAGCCCAGACCCTGCCCACTGTCCCACCCTGTAGAGACTGCAGGATCTGCCTTGGAGGCATCCTTTGGGCACCTGCTCATTGACTCCAGCGGGCACTCAGCCGGGTCTTGGCCATAGACCTCAGGCCTTAGGGTTCAGAGGGGCCTGTGAGGTCCTTGCCATCCTAACCTATAATGCACAAGGTGTAATCCCTGGAAAACCACTCCCACCACCTTCTATGCCACCTAGTGTCCCCATCCCAGGCCCACTAGACCCAGTGGGACCTTGCTGCTCTCTGACACTCCTAATTCCAGGGCCCTTTCCTGTAACACATTCCACCTATGTATCCGACCAGATGAAATAAAGGGTATCCAGTTAAGTTAGATTTCAGATAAACAACAAGGAATTTCTTAGTACAAGTATGTCTCAAATATTACATCTGAAATCCAGCTTTAACTGGGTGCCTTGTGTTTTATTTGCTAATGTGGTACCTATTAACTAGCTCCTTGCTCATCCTCTACCCACCCAGAATTACAAGTCTCCTCTCCCCTCAGGTGTGGGTAATGACCCTGACCTTGGCCCCTGGCTGGCCCCTCATGTGGGGTCCCAGGGAGCCAGCAACCAAGGACACTGGTTCCTTCCTGCATACTGTAGAAGTCCGGGGTTCCAGGCTAAGGAGGAGGGCAGCAGTTCATCCTGGACATCTCTGTTCATCTCCTTGTCTTGAGTCTTCCTAGACCAGGCCTGGTCCTAGGAGCTAGAGCTGGGGTCATGGCTGGGGCTGGAGCTGGTGCTGCGCCCTTGCCTCACCTGCCGGCGGAAGTAGCGGATAGCAGAGATGGTGCCAATATTGGCCAGCAAGACTGCAAGGGAAGCACAAGTTTTCCTGGGTGCCAGTCCAGCCCACATGACTGATCTAGTCCTCAAAGGGCAAAACAACCAGCAGGCAAGGACAGTGGGCTGGACATGGGCCAGCAATTGGTGGGTATAGTTTGGGAGAAACCCATGCTTCCCCATGCACCCCATCTCTACCCGCGCAGAAGGTAAGACTGGGCACTGTGGCCCCTTGGTTTGGTTTGAGGCACCAGTTCCCTCTGCCCCTGTGGCCCCCAAACCTGTTTTCCAAGCATCTGGGGTTTGTAGATCTGAGGTTCTTACAGCCCATGTGGCAAGGGCTACAAACACCAGACACATGTCATTCTGACTGAAGGTAAATGAAGTGAGGGGTCGCCGGAGCTCTCCTTGGAAAAAGAAGTTCACCCTTAACTCAGCTGTTCACTGTGAAACACATCTGTCCTGAGACATGCCTGCCCAGACACATCTGCCTTAGGACACATCTGTTCTGGGACACGACACGTCTGTCCTGGACACGCCTGCCTAGACATACCTGCCCTAAACACATCTGCCCTACACACCCACCCTGGACAGGTCTGTCCTCTGATGTGTATGAGTCACATCTTCCTTGTGATGTCTCCTCAGAGGCCCTGGGTAGCATATTCACACTTGCATCAGGATAGTTTGGGGTGTTACCATTTCCTGGTCTGCAGCATAGCTCCCAGAGGGAAAATCAGGAGTCTGCTCCCAGTGCCAGGCCGTGAAGGCAGCAAGGCCCCACTAGTGCCTGGGTCTGGTCTGGGCTACCATGTGTGAGCTAGAAAAATTTAAGCTTACCTTTCTCTTCCAGTAGGTCCCTGAGGACTCCCCACTGGCTGGGGACCTAGGATCCTCCCTGCCCTCCCCACATCCCTCCTGGCCTATCTCCCTGGACAGTGTGTTCTCAGAGCCTGGATGGGCCATGAGCCTGAGCAGCACCTACCTGCCCGCTTGGCTGCCAGGCTGAGCTGCTCCACTATGGCTGGGCCAGGCTCAGGTGGGGTCCTTGTCCCTATGTTCCTGGGGGTCTCCAAGGTCTGCAGCTGGAGAAGGGGAATGGGGGGCACCTCACCCCGAAACCTGTCCTCCCCCAGGAAGTGTTCATAGGCCTCAGGGATAGAGAAGGGCACTGGGTCTCCAGGGGCCACAGTTGTTGCAGGGTCAGCTCCTGGAGGTGGACTGGGGGAGCAGCTCCCCTGGTGCCCCAATGTCTGTGTGTGGAAGTCCCGGAAGAAAAATTCGCATATGTCCGGCCATTGGACATCACCCAGTGCCTGGCTGGCTATTTCCTCCTCATTGGAACCTTCCTCCTCCTCTTCCTCCTCCTCAATGGTATCACAAAAGAAGAACTCATAGGCCTCAGGGAGAGTCACTGCAAAGCAACTCCCAGACCCAGTACCTGCAGAAGCAGAGGGAGCAGGGGGTGGCAGGTGTTTGAGAATCCGAGGCTGGGGGGTCCGAGGCCCAACTGCCACTGCATCCCAGGTTGCAGACCCCTCGCGGCCCCCCACTGCCATCCCTGGAGTTGAGGGCCAGGCTGAAGCTGATGAAGGTGAACCTATAGCCTCTTTTGATCCTGGGTCCTCAGGGCTGGGCGCAGTCATGGAGAATCGTACTTTTTTCTTCTTGGGGAGTTGGGCAGGGCCTGGGGGAGGCTCCCCCAAAGTATGTCCAGGAGCCCCTCCAGGTTTCTCTTGGTGCCCTCTTGAAGGCACAGTTATCTGTGTCTCTATTATATCAGCCTTCATCTGGAGAATAGGATGCTGGGAGGGCGCCACAGCCTCAGCCCCAGGGACGGCTGTAGATGCTCCTACATCAGATTCAGTCCTGGAAGCAGAATGAGGCAGAGCCCTACCGGGCACAGCCACTGAGACAGGCAGATCCAAAAGCAGTTGAGGTATGGAGTCGGGTGTAGACAAGGCCACTTCAGGTTTGGGCTTGGTAGAGGTTATAGGTGGAGCTTCATCTGCCTCAGCCATGGAAGCAGCTCGATGAGCCTCTCGGACAGGTACAGAAGCCCTGTGTAACTCATCTCTGGGGGTCATTCTGGTCTGGTCTGTATGTTGCTCAGTTATGGGGACAGGAATGGAGAGAGCACCTGCAGAGTCTGGCTGAGGCTTGTTCTGGGCTCCTGCCATCGTCTTTGCTGTCCCAGCCCCAGACCCCTTACCCCTGGCCCCAGCCAGACCAAGGCTTTCCTTAGGCCTGGCCTCAGAGAGCTTTGCAAAGCCTGGTGAGGCCACAGCAGGCCCTGGGGTATCTGAGTATCTGCCCCCCTTGGCCCCTGCTGCACGCTTCTTCTTGCGGCCAGGGCTCCGCAGAAGGGTGTCAGGACTGTTGGGGGACTTTTGAGGGATGGCAGTGTGGCAGGGGGAATTAGAACTCTGGGGGGGCTCACCAGAGGGATTGGGGGCAGGGCCTTGCAGAAACCTCTGCATCGGGTCACTGGGATCTACTGACCCAAGAAAGGAGGAGCACTGGTCAGGAAGGGCAGTGCCCAAGCTGAAGGACAACAGAGCTTCAGGCTGTGCAGACGTGCCGGCTGCCTGCTTATTGGCCCCCAGAGCCAGGACTGGCTCACACAGAGACCTGCTGGCCAGCTGCCAAGTGGCCACACTGCCCTCCTCCTCACAGGCCTGACAGCTCTTTCCCTGGGATGCCAGTTGCCCAGTGAGGAGGGGTGGGGGCCCAGGTGGGCTGCTACCACTGCTGTCCCCTTGGTCAATGTCACTGGAAAAGAGCTCGTCCCCAGAAGCCAGACCAGCCTGTAAGAGGCCACACTCATCAGCGGTGGCTGAGAACTCCTCCCAGTCCTGGTCACTGAGCTGGACACTGTACTGGAAGTTGTCCATCACAGGTCAGCAGAGGCTCTGAAGTGGTGACATGACTTGGTGCCAGATGGGATCTTCAGGTGTCCAGGCTCCAGGCACAAGCCTACAAATGATGCCACTGTCCTGTGTACACTAGGGGAGACCCCCCTGCCCAGCTCTCCACCTCCACCCTGGAAGAAAGCAGAGCAGGGTCCCAGAGGAGAAGCTGTGCTTCTGTCAAATCTAATTTCTTCTGAATTATAAAATCCCCAACTCTCGCTTTCCCTATTTCCAAATCGGCTCCAAATGGCAACTTTATAATACACATTGTCACAGTCCTAAAACCAAATATATTATATATTAATGAAGTACACTAAAAACATGACATCTGTCATGTTTGAATTTTTGTTCCCAGAAATGCCATTCCTTCATCTCTGAGATTTCCTGATGGATGGGTAAGGCTCTCTTCCTCTGCTTCCCTCAACATGGTCTGTACTAAGGACAACCCACCAGGGGTCAGTTCCTCGGGTGATGGTCAGCCTGGCCTGTCCCAGGGTGCCCTATGAGACAGCTGGCTGCAGAACGTGGCTGTAGTATCCAGCAGGTGCCCAGCCTTCAAGGTGATGACCTTCCACTAGCCTTGGCTGGGACAGTTTTCCTCTGAGCTCACCAAGGTCACACTGTTGCTGGCTAGAGCCAGCTCAGGGTTCAGCAGGAAGGGCCTGGACCTGAGGTTGTGGAGCAGAGATCAGACCTTGGACCCCCAGTAACCCCTTCTGGCTAGCCCCAAGGTCTGCATCCCCACCCCAATTCTGCCTGGCTGCCCAAGGCCCCATTCTGCCACAGCACAGAGAACCAAAGTGAATCAAGCTGGAGGGGGCCTCCAGCTTCTGTCCCATGGGGGCTGCTCATCAGCTCTCATTCAGCTACTGCTAGACCCAGGCGGTGGAGGTCACTCTAGCTAGGACAGTCCTGAGCTGGAGATATCCAGAAGCCAGAGCACCATGGCTTCCTACCCACTGACCTACACCCTCTTTTTTGCCCTAGAGAAGCCTCTGAGGGGGTGGCCTGCCATTTGGACCCTTAGCCAGGAAGGAGAAGTTGACCATGTCCTACCTGAGTCTCAGCAGCCAGCAGAGCCGTGGAGCAGGGCATCTGAGTGCCTATCCCAAAGCAGCATGCTGCTGGGCTGGCTCTGGAAGCTCCACCCCCCACTGCCAAAAATACCCAGCCTCTGTGCTCACATGTGATCTGTGCCAGTGTCAGGGCCCAGGCCACAAATAGATGGCATTTGAGGGGCCTCCAGCTACTTGCGGGACTCCTTCCTAGGGCAAGGCCTGGCCCAAGCTGGCACCAGCCAAGGTCACATCAGATTCCAACCAGAGATGATGGGTGACCAGTGGATTAGCACTGTACAAGCCTTGCTGTCCCCAGCAGCAAGAAGCCTCCACTCACCCTACCCACTGGGGCCTTGCCTACTTGGCCTGAACTCCAAAGGCTCTTTTTATTTTCTTTTGGTACCAGAGATCGAACTCAGGACTTTGCACTTTCAAGGCAGGCATGGTGCCACTGTGCTAAATCCCCAGCCTGCAGGGCCCATTTCAAAGCCAGGTATTGCTGATCCTGTCATTGAGTCTGGGGCCAGGTGGGGGTACTCATTGCTGTCAGCGGAGGCCTCTCCAAACAGATTTGGACCTCAGGCCACAGAGAGGGTAGGGAAGGCCTGGAGGGACTGAGTAGGCTCACTCCTGATCTCCTGCCTCCAGAAGAGAACAGTGGGTGGCACAGCTTCTGTAATGGACCTCCCAACCTGTCTCTACAAACTTATCCATTTAACTAGGGGTCCAGGAGGACCCTTCTTTTGGGAGGAGGGTGTTGAACGCAGGACCTTCTCATTGAGCTTTGCCGCTACCCCTATTTTATTTTTTGTTTTCGGACAGGGTCTCACTAAACAGCTGGCTTTCAACTTTTTTTGATTCTCCTGCCTCAGCCTTTTCAGAAGCTGGGGTTACAGGCATGTGCCACTGTACCAGCATGGCATGAGTCATCTGTGAAGATGTCTCTTCAGGATTTGTGCCACCACTCTACCCCGTGTTAGTCAGCTTTCCCATTGCTGGGACCAAATACCTGACACTCACAATTTAAAGGAAGAAATTATTTATTTGGCTCCTCCCAGTTTCAGAGGATTCAGTCTCTGGTCAGCAAGCTCCAAGCAGAAACAACATGGCAGAGGGGCGTGGTGAAGGAAGATGCTAACTTAGTGGCAGCTGGGAAGCAGAGCAGGGAACCAGTGCAAGAGGGGAAGGGGCCAGGGGCCAGGCATAGACCTTGAGGTCAGGGCTCTGTGATCCATGAGACACACCCTAAACCCCTAGGCACCTCTCAAGCCAATCAAGTTGACAAGCTTAACCATCAGAGATATTTCGTTGATTCACAGTTTATTATTTATTCTGCTTCTTCCTTTTTGTGTGTGTATGGGGGAGAGAGTAGGGGGGAGATACTTAGGGTTTAACCTCAGGCATGAGGCATGCTGTGCAAGAACTCATCACTGAGGTACACAGCTGCAATTATCAATGCCTTTTTATGATCAGAAGTTTTACATTTTAACTTACTTGGTTTATCAACAATTTCCTTTATGCTTAGCACTTTTTGCTGACCTTTTAAATAACTCTGCCTGACCTCAAGCCATGGAGAAATCTTGCTGTGCGGGACTCGTGTGTGTGTGTGTGTGTGTGTGTGTGTGTGTGTGTGTGTGTGTTTGTAAAGTACATTCCCAGCCCTTTATGTTTTTTAACAAAAATTTTTAAAGTTTTAGACAGGGTCTTGCTAAGTTGCCCAGGCTGGTCTTCTTGTGATCTTCTGGCCTCCAAGTAGCTGAGATTACAGGCACATGCCACCATACCCAGACAAATAGTCTTTTCTGTTTTGTTTTGTTTTGTTTTCTCATTGAGTTTATTGGTACATTTTAGGTATACAGTAAGTTACATTCATCGTTGGGATCTTGTACCATTACATGACAGGGCTTGGTTCTCATTTTTCCCCCTTACCTCTGCCCTCCCTTCACCCCTTCTCCCTTCCCTATTTACAGATACTTTATTTTCATTTTTTAATTTTCTCATATTTTTTCTTTTCCCTTATCTCCTTTCCCCTACCCTTCCCCCACTTCCCCTACACCTTTAGCCCTTTTCTTCCTATTTCACATTGTCAACTATACCGTTAGGATCTTATGTATAGTTATAGTTTTTCACACCAGAGAAACTATTCGGTATTTACACATGTGTGACTTATTTATTTCACTTGAGTATATCCTCAATATTCATGTGGGTTTTTTTGTTTTTTTTTGTTTTTTTGTTTTTTTGGTACCGGGGCTTGAACTCGGGTCCTTGCGCTTGCAAGGCAGGCCACTGAACCGCTGAGCTAAATCCCTGGCCCTCATGTTTTTTGTTTTTTGAGACAAGGTCTCACTACGTAGTTCAGGCTGGTGTCAAACTCACTATGTAGCCCAAGGTAGACTTAAACTGTGGCAATCCTGCTGCCTCAGCCTCCCAGGTACTGGGATTACAGGAATGTGCCACCATGCCAGGCCTGGCCAGATATTCCTGCTTTAAAAAAAAATAAAACTTCATTTTTTTTAGTTTTCACACTTGAATCAGCAACGCACCTGGCATTGGTTTTCAGGGGTGGTGGCAGATAGGGTCACAGCCCAGTTTTATTCACATATGGGGCTCAGTGACCCCAGCCAGGCAATGTCACCCAGTCACAGCTTGAGAGGTACACACACGCAAGGCTGTGTACAAGGGCCCAGAGGTGAGCACCACACGACTGACCTGAGATGAGGCTTTGAAATGGGCTTCAGGATGATATGACCTGATGTAGGCTTTTAGAAAATGCTCTGACTAAACTGTGGAGAGAGAAGGTGGCTCCCAGGTTGAGAGAAGGTGGCTCCTACTGGGACAGTAGGACTGAAGGGTCTTACCACAGGCATGGTTAGAATTGAGCGGGAATTCTGAGGCAAACTGTCACTGCAGTTGAAGAGCCTTCAGAGGGAAGCCTCTTCCATTCATGAGTCGGGGGATGTGGGGCCGGGAATCTGGGCAGGGCTCTAGCACATCTCAACCCAGGGAGAAGGAAATGCCACCTTGGTAATGCAGTAGGCGGACCTTAGTTCTCTGCAGAGGCCAGCACGTGAGCCAGGTGGGTGGAAGGAGTGCAAGACAGTGATGCCCTCAGATCTGGGAGCGGCAGAAAAGAGCTCAGCCCGCTGTGTCCCTATGGCCACTAGAGGGCGCAATGACCACACTGGGAGCCTGGTAGACCTGGGGCCCCTACCCAGGGTGGTAGGAGGGAATGGTCCTGCCCCCTCTACTCAGGAGAGTGTTGGGTGAAGATTTCTTGGGGGTGTTACCACACCCTTTTTCCTGAAGCCTTGCAGCCCCTTTTAAGTACTTGACAGTCAGTTCTCATAAATAATAGCTACCTTTGAACAGTTACTACAAGCCAAGCAGTCTTAAATGTTCTGCTCACACACTGGCTTTGTCTTATTTTTAAATGGTCTTACTGAAGTAGCACAGAATAAACTGCAAATATTTATTTTTTGTTTTGTTTTTGTTGGGTTTTTTGGTACTGAGGATCGAACTCGGGTCCTTGTGCTTGCAACGCAGGCAGCGGAACCACTGAGCTAAATCCCCGGCCCACAAATATTTTAAACATACAATACATTAGACTTTTGTTTGGGTTGGGGGCAGGTACTGAGGACTGAACCCAGAGTCTCATCCATGATAGACAAGCATCCTACCATTAAGCTACAGCTCCAACCCTTTTTATTTCTTGTATCTATTTTTGGCGGTACTGGGAATTGAATCTAGAATCACTCTACCACTGAACTACTTCAAGCCCTTTTATAATTTTTACTTTGAGGCAGTGTTACACTAAGGTTGCCCAAGCTGGACTTGAACTTATGATCCTTCTGTCTTGGCCTCATTTGTAGCTGAGATTACAATCATGTGATACCAGCAGTATTTCTTACTTTTTAGGGGGTGGGGGTACTGACCAGCGATCGAACTCAGGAGCTTGCGCTTGCAAGGCAGGCGGCAGAACCACTGAGCTAAATATTGCTTTTTTAGGGAGGGAATTAACAAGTTTTATTGATACATCATATAATTCACCCACTTAAATTCAGTGGTTTCTAACATGGTTAGAGTTGTACAGTTATCATCATAATCAATTTTAGCATTTTCATCACCTCCCACAGAAACCTCATGCCCATAAACTGTCTTTCCACATTTCTCTATCTCAGCTCCAGCGAACCACTAATCTGTTTTCTACTGATTCGCATACTCTGGACAGTTCATGTAAATGGAACCATACATTATGTGACCATCTGTGACTGCTTTGTTCAAAGCATAATAATTTCAAGGTCCCTCCAAATTGTAGCAATGAGGCAGGACTTAAAGAAAAACAAGTCCTTCCCAGCCTCAGGAAGCCCCCATCATTCCCCTGTAGCTGTCACTCCTTGTTCTGGTACAGATAAAATTAACAACTATGTCCCATAAACAAAGTTCATGACACTCTGTTCTCATATGATTCATAGGACCTGTCTTTTTTCAAGGCAAAGTAACAAAACTGTCTGCCCTTGTCCTGTTCCGGTAAACTCACTTGCTACCTCTCTACCTCACCCTCTTCAACAAAATGTACACAAGCTGGAACTTCTCTTTGTTGAACACTCTGAGCCAGTGTATACCTTAAACCTGAAATGAAGTACTCCTGTTTCACCCTGGAGTCTCTCCAGCCTTTTAGATTCTTACATATGAAGCAGGCAGAGGAACCACTGAGCTAAATCGCCAGCCCTTGATTCTTACAACAGTATCAGTACTTCATTCATTTTTGTCAAATAATATCGTATTGTAAAGCTACATCACAACCTACCTTTCATTGGGTGATGGACATGTGAAAGGGGCTGGTATGCAGAGTTGAATCTTTCAGCACCTTCCACCACTGAGATACATCCTGGAAAGCTTGTTGACTGTCACCTTCCTGCTTACGCCTCCTGGAACATCACACCCTAGAGCCACCCCAAGGAATTCCAAATTTCCAGCACCTAGGCAGCTCTTCAGCAAGTCCCGGCTGGGGGCGGTGCCAGGGAAGGGCGGTGCTAGCCCGGCGGGACAAAGCCTGGGAGGGATGGGACCTAGGGGATGGGTTTCCTGGGGCCAGCGCGAGACTG